TTGGGTTTTCGTCGCTTGGCAACGACGTTGTAACACCCCCCCATCGGTGTTTGCCATCGGGATTGGGTTTTCGTCGCTCGGCAACGACGTTGTAAAACAAGCCAATGCACTTCGTGAGCTCGGCAACCAGGTTACCTTTTGTTTTTTTACCTCTGTTTTTTTTTGGCGGTAACCATAATGGTGGCCGAGTAGATCATGTTGTGCGGGGTGGAGAACCCTCGCTCCGCGCAAGGGGGATGATCGCACCACGTTGTGTTAAAATGGTCAGGCACCCTCGAGGCCGCTACACAGTTCTTATAACTGTCTCTGGAGGTGAAAACACCAGAAAATATACGTAGGCATACGCAGCTGTCATCCGTACGCAAGGTAGTGAGCACAAGATGCCGAACACCCTTAGCAGGATGCAGCGCACCCTTAATGCACTCGCCGAATATCTCACGGCGCTTCGCGCTTGGTGATGTGAGAGCCTGGTCCGGTGAGAACCTGGCGTGCTCCGTCCCGGCTTTGTAGGGATGCGAGGTCAATCGTCTAACGACTACGGCATGCACGACTATGCGTACCCCCCCCCCCTCTCAAAAGGACGTAGTGACAATTATTGGGGGAATACGTTCAAAAAGGTTATTTACATTGCTGCCGTTTCTGAAGCTTACTGTGCATTCGGCGTCGTTTCCGGCTACTACTGCTGCTGCATTGTTTTGTTCCATATACACGATGTCAGGCAGGCCCTGCTTTTGTCTTTCTCTGACCCCTGGCCCATGAAAGCAGCAAGCACAACAACAGCAGTCAACACAACATCAGTATTGCCAGAATCAGCTTGTATTATCGTGTGCAGAAAGCCATTGCAAGGCACTACCGTGGCGTTGGTGCTTTTGCGTGATATATGCTTGGTTATAGTGTGAGATCTCTCTCCACTCATCAAGCGTGACGGCTACAAGAGCTCGAAAATGTATCGCGTTGCTTTCACCACCAAAAACAACAGCAGCACAATCGTTCTATGTGGCCACAGACAGCCTACGTACATAGGTGCTGGTGTATACGAAGACTCCTCTGTCCGTTCAGATGGCCGACCGCTTGGGTGGCTGCTACGCAATTGACGAGTCCCTATGACAGTTCCACCATCGCCACAGAGTAGATCGAGAAGAACATCAAGGCACCGCGAGTTCGTACTTCAAAGCTCTGGAGTAATAGAAAGAACAGTTACAGCGCTAAGTTTGTGTGTACCAGTTTGTGCTCAATAAACACCTATATACCAGGTGAAGGTGTCGTGTACAGGTATGCAAGTCGGAGCGTAGGCCGAGTTGTTTGCACGCTACAGCAGTTTTGCGAAAAGTTTTGAGTCTTTGTTCTCTATCTCGGTTTTGCTCGTAAGTTGGTGCTTTCAATACATATTTGCCTTGCAACACGCGCAACAGATGTTCCCCTGTGTGCGTTGCGAACTCATCCTACCTTCCGTGTGTTCAACACTTGGCGCACGGCCTCCTCCTGCCGACTTTCCTTTGCTTCGAGTTTCTTCTAGGAACGCTGCGAACGGTTGCAAAGACAGGCCAAGTTCATCTGCTGCAGCATTCCTTCCTCATCCCTCCTTCTGACCCTCTCCGTTCGGTGCAATCACACGCTCGTACTATCCCGTCACCAGGTCAGAGAAGCTCCCATGGCGAGATAAGCAGTTGGAGCTGGAGCGGTGGCGATGGGGTTGACGCGGGCCAACGTTCAGACTCGGTCGAGACAAAGCCGCGGCCGTCACGGGGGCCCCCGGCATCAGAAAGAAACAGCCATTCGCAGGAGGGAGAAATGGCGAGGATCGCTTCAGGAACACCACCGGAACCGGCAGTGTTCGGACCGCCCCAAAACCCAAACCTTGCCGGTCAAGACGACGGCGCTGGGGGCGCGGAGAAGGGATTTTTCTGTCGGGTGTGCGGGGAGCGCGTGACGTCGCTCTCCGAGGAGAAGCACAACACCTCGACGCTGCACATTTTCAACCAGCAACACAGGCCACAGGGGAGGAAGGTGAGCTAGCTGGAACACATAAAAGCTTTGCTTGGAGGTAGTTCGCAGTGGTCGTCGGTGCTGCGAATGGTGAGGCATCGCATGGATCCTGGCATCGAAAACGTCGCGAGGCAGGCCAATCATTGTTCGCGCTGATCTCCGTTATCGTGATGGGGGGTCTCCGTTCTACCCCGCCTATGTTATTTTTATTGAAATACAAGGACGTCCACTGACGTGCGCGTAGACGGCAACACATGGTCCGCCCCCTTATGTTCTTATATTGAAGTACAAGGACGTCCACAGGCGTGCGCGTAGACGGCAACGCATAGACGACAACGCATGGTGATCATCATCACCCTACCGAGAAGCTGGCTTTGTAGGTACACATATCACGGACCTAAGCAGCGATGGCGGCTATAGTGTGGTTCCCACGGAAGTCGAAAGTGGGCTCTACCTCTTCCCAGAGACTTCACCGCGCTGATGCGAAAAGAACCAAATCGACACGGGCGTGGTGCATTCAGATATCCGAGTATTTGTTTTGCGTCCGCTCGGAGCAGGACTGCATACCTTGGGTTGCTAAGACACCATATCCCCCGGACCAAAATATCAGAGCTCGAAAACTCTATATTAATAGTCAAAACAGTTACGGCTTGTAAAACGGTGGGCGTTGGAAGGGCCTCGTCGAGAGCTTGCCTTTGACGTATCCTGTGAGTTGGCATCCTCTTTGTCGAAGAGTAGGCGAGCTTTAAAGATTGGTCCAGGCGGTGTGATATCTCATGCGTTCTATAAGTTAGTCCCGTTTTACGAACACCTGGAAGACTCTCGGCTTGTCGCTTGTGTGTGGTGTCGGCCTCCAGAACACATCACCCGGCTTGTGCATAGGCGTAAAGTTGGCGTAGGAACCCCTGCTAACCTGACCGCCCCTTCTTCCTGGCAACGTCTGTTCGGCGGTGGTTGCTGTTCGGACAGGAGCAACGGTCGGCTCGTTCGCGGTTCTGCTTCCTTCGCACAGCGATTGATTGCCGTTCACGACTCAACAAACTTTCATTTTTCTTCGTCGGCTTGCTGTCACTCAGCTTGCATTGATTGGTCTCCAGCCTTTTCCCGTCACGTTTTTGACCCTTCCAGCTTGCCGTTCAATCATCGTCGTCGACTCCCTACATACCGCAGGTGCAAATCCACGAAAGCAACAAGGGTTTCCAGCTGCTCGCGGGCATGGGCTGGAAGCTTGACGAGGGCCTCGGTTCCCGGAAGCAGGGCCGCGTGAACCCCCTACAGACCACGTTCAAGCGGGACACGACCGGCCTGGGGGCCGGCGGAAAGCTTCGCCCCCGCGTCACCCACTTCCCTTCGCACTTCCCGTCCCAGGCGCTCAACGCTCCGGACGGGAAGAGCGACGCGGTAAGGGCGCACGAGAGGCTCGACCGGGGACGGCTCGGCGGCTGCGGAGGCAGACGGCGGCGCGCCCGGGATGGTGGTGGGTGTAGTGGCAACCGGTTTGACGCTTCAGGCGAATCGAGCGGCGTTAACGCCGAACCCTCTGCGAGGGGAGGAGGGGGAGGACCTGCGGGCGACTCATGGGGCGGGTTTTGGGGGCAGGGAACACATTCAGGCAGTGGCAGCGGTGACAGCGGCGGCGGCGGCGGCGGCGGATGCCGTTCTACGGGTGAAGGCATTGCTAGCTCGGGGGGGGCAGGGCGAAGAGAAGGGAGAGGCAAGAGTGGACACGAGACGGGCTCTTTCCTGACTAGGAGGGAACGCGAGGCGGAGTCGGAGCGGGAGAGACAGAAAGAGCGCAGGACGAGGTTCGAACTCCTTTCTGACGTGCCGGAAGAATACGCCGCCCTTTTCACGGGCTGAGGATCGAAGTACTTCCAACTGGTCTACAACTCGCTGCAGCTGCTGCAGCTGGTTACTGCTGGTCTTGTATGGATACGCACTAAACGGCCGAGATTTGGCCGTCTAGGTTGGGCTTGGTGGTGTATGCTGAGAAGTTCGAGGTGCTGCGGTTGCTGCTACCTTAACTAGACTGCATCAAGTCGACCATTCTGGCCATCTTGGCTACTACTGTGAAAGGGCGATGGACCAGAGAGCCTGACTTATCACGGATATGCCTGTTGATGCGTTGGTGCTGTGATTGTTTGGGAGCAAAATGTTCATCAGGTCGTTGAAGTTCGTACTCGCATTTGCGTCCCTTTGCCCGCGGATAGGGATACGTCCTGGACCCCCGCTTCTTCTCTTACTGTGTCGATAGCATGCGTTTCTAAACACCTAAGACTATGCTGATAAGCCTTCAGCCCATCAGGCTCTATGCTGCTTGAACGTCCAGGAAAAGCGGTCTCCTTTGAGACGATTCATGGGATAGATGTTGGTGTGCGTGAGTTGTGAGACTGTCGGCACTGCGAGTGCTGGAAGTCCTTCCACCAAGAAGGGCGTGTGCAGTGCGTGCCTCGCTCCCAGTGGTCCAGCCACCTAGACTACTAGACTACTGTCTGTTTAGTGCAGCAACGAAGAGTAGTTGCTTGGGAACATGGAGTTGGAGAAGCGGTGAACGGACCACGTACAGATGATCTGGCGCTCCGATATGGAGCAGGGGTGGTCAGTTCCTCACCGCATCCAGAACCCAGCACGCAACAAGATACATACGCAGTCTTCACATGGTTGTGCCCTACGTCGCTTGGCGAGCTATGGTCTAGACTACTCATCATTCATCGATTCTCCTTGGGTTTTAGCCAGCTCCAGCTTGCAATATATCTAGTCTACGCTCAATCAACAATGCAATCACATAGTACATTTTTGCAAACAGGTTTTGGTTGGTTGTGTGCGAACATCTCGTCGGTGCTCTCTACACTATCTACTGCCTTCAGAACGATACCAAGGGTCTCTCGTGTGATTATTACTAACGTTGAGTAATTTCCGCATTTGAAATACACGGGGTGGAAACCAGAGACCACCGAACCAAACGAATACCTCTTTGAGAACCAGCACGGTTGCCCGAGGCAAGCCGCGATACCAATGCAATCTAAATCCCACGATATCCATATGGAAGAAGTGAAGATCTGGACAGCAGACATGATCGACCTCTCTCTGCTGTGATTTTCGAAAAGGGTACCTGTCATCATTCAAAATACACGGTGCGGCACCCCTGTCGTGAAAGGCTCATGTTTTTTTTTTTTTTTTTNGCGGTTCATGCCTGAGGTATTTTTATCGCGAGAAGGGTACAGCAATCCCTTCCCTCGCGACTTACGAAGTCGATTATGGTTTACTAACAAACGAGCTTTGCAGCGCGTCGCTTTCATCCTAGACCAGGATTTCATTAGCGAGAAAAAAACTCTCTCTGCCGGGACTCAAACCCATGACCTGGCCCTTAGCAGGCTGCGAGGCTACCCACTAGACCACCGGGGCGACCGGTACGCTCATGTGTGGAACCTTGACTCTGTGTGCACATAGCAAGGTACACACGTACTCATTAGTTGATGAAACCGTACATAGGTCTGGAGTAGTGAAGGCTCCCTGTGCGCACACGTGGTCTACAACAATGTCTAGTGGCCTTTAAAGTGAAAACTCCACATGACAATTCTCGACGAGGAAAAAGTGACGGTTACAATATCTTCAGAGCGCACCCTTATCTATTGGAGCACCCATAAACGCCAACAATAGACCGTTACACACGCCTTTTCCATAATCTATTGGAACACCAATCGCCCCGTAGATCCACCACTCCACCACAAGATCCAACTTATTGACCTGTGTTCCCTGCTGTGGCATTCGCTCACAGGTCACAACGTTGAGGTGCATTCCTTCGAGCACCAAGGGACACAAGGTGAGGAGGGAGTCTGTCGCGCTAGCTCATGGCAGTGACGTTACTTTCTGGGCCTTGAAGGCGTGTCTTGCTCTTGCATTGTAGAGAGAGATGGCACACACGACTACGCGGTGCCGCCAGCAGTACATGAAGCAGATAAACACCAGCACTTCGGCAAACCCCAAGCACCATGTATTTTTGGCCGTTGGTGGACATTATCAGTTAGGCTTATTCCCTTTCCCGAACGGTCAGCCGCCATGTAATGGTGTAGAAAGTCTCGTCTGATTGTGCGACATCGAGTCGAAGGGTCTGTGATCAAGGCTATGTGTGGATAATGATCCATGCTAATTCTAGGGCATAGAACTCTTGGTTACAGATTACACGTGTAATGTTGTACGTAGGCGACAAACAGTAACTGCGTGCGTTGAAGTGTTGGCACCTTCTCTTGGTATCCATAAAGAGGTCGAAGCCTGTCCTTTGCGACACATCATTCTGAAGTACAACTGTAGTCTACTGCAGTAGACTACACCTTGCACCATAGACTATAATTCACCATTCCGGTCGTTGTTGAGCCCGTGTCTTGGCCTCTGCTTCGCCTGTACAGTCGAACCTGTCGATAGGACCAGTTTTCATCCCATACACCATACCCTATGGGCTCAGTCTTACTTGGCCTTCTACCTTGTAACAGCACGTTGGGAGCTCGGAAGGCATCGCAGCATCTCTGGTGGATCGGACTGGTTGAGCATGTTAGAACTGGTAGACTAGGGGCGTCAGGACACGCTGCAAACACGCCTGCTACTGAGCGAGACACATACACCTCGCTGCACATGAAAGTTTGGAAAGGGCCCTTGTGCCAACATTAATGGCAGCACAGCCCACCGAGCTATTCTCGGGTCAAAAGTCCTTAGATAGCGGTGGAAAACATCTGCTGCCGTACGAGCGCGGCGGCAATGACAAACGGGAAAAGACAATGTCGGCCAGGCACTTCGGCGATCTCAATCGCCATGGCAGCGCTCGCGGTGGTGCTGTCCTACATGGATGGTGAGGTCCTAGCAGTGTGCCCCAACATGTGCAACGGCCACGGCGAATGCGGACTGGAGAATGTTTGCGAGTGTGAAACTGGCTGGGACCTTGTCGCCGACTGCTCCCTGAAGGAGTGCCCAACAGGCGTTTCTTGGGGAAGCAAGGTGACCCCTAAGTTTTGCCGAGGTCTATCACGAGCTTACTGTAGTTCTATCCAGTTGTAATGTTCCATGTTGCACTGTTGGCAGCAATTCCTCGGCTGGCATCCAGATCCCTCGGTTGTGATGCGCTGTCCTTTGTGGCCGATGGGACCAACAAGGGGGTGGCCCTTGTGGGGGTACAACATGCTTTTCAAGAACAAAGTTCGCCATGCCGGATGGTCGAAAGTTCTTGTCCGCGGGCATGTTTTAGACAACCCTTCAAACTGGTGACTCTATACCTCGACCTCACCCACATGAATGAAATCGCTGGTGGAGATCGACCGTCAAGCGTTTCGACCATTCGCGAGAGTACACATAAGTACCTACCAGCGAGGGACTAAAAAATGTTTTCGGGAGGTAGAAACCATGTATTTGGCTGCCCGGAATCGTAGGCATCCCAAGGGACAACAAACGAAAACGAGTCTGATGTATTGCTAATACTTACGCTCTACATAGGTTGGCTATGCCGGCCGGTGGCATGATTGTCCCTCTAGCGGATGAGACCGTTGTAGGGCAAAAACTGTGTGCCTGCATTGAATGAACCACCACCCCGCCGTCAACCTTACCTGTACTTTGTTGGTGCGCGGTGGGACGTGGCTCCCGTCACAAAGGCATATGACGAGAACACAGCACACGTTGTTATGGAGTGCTCCAACGTCGGGGTTTGCGACCGGGTCACAGGCTCCTGTTCATGCCCCTCGGGCTACACGGGGTCAGCTTGTCAGAGGCTTGCTTGCCCCAACGATTGCTCTGGGCGGGGCACGTGCGCTACCCTTGGTCAGGTACGTAAACCAAAAGGGCGGGTTACATCTACGGAATACAAAAAACATTCACCCAAAAACGGAACGAGTTGTTCTACCTCTCAGGTGTGGGAACAGGCAATTGAAGCCAATAATACAGAGTGTGTAATTCAGCACGCAAAACCAAGCAGGACTGATTTGAAGAAAACAGGCAAAACCACCTTTGATGGTTGCTGTGGACACTCACCCTTGTTCTGTTTTGACGCGAACAATGGGGACACGGGATCTATTTTGGGGTTGCTGGTTTGGTTGATCAGTCGTTCATGTCCACGGAGAAGAGCAACTCGTTGTTGTTGTTGTTGCTGTTGTTGCTATCTTCACCTTGAGCACCGTTCCGGTCTCTGCTCGGTTTCTCCTAACATCCGTACCCAACCGATGCGGAATGATACCGCGCTCAGTCGGCGGGGCATTTGGTTCGCACGAGGATCCGCTATTTTCCCGAGGTACACGTGGCAATTACCTGCGGGCTAAGCCTACGGCGCTTTCGTATTGTGCCGCAGGATGCAAACGAACCTCATACCCAAAGTACTCCTTCTTCCGTGGCCGAACCCTATCTCGACGGCGTGTTTGCTTGTTTTTAGGCAGCTGAGTTTTATGGAGTGACGCGATACGGCGGGGTGGGTTCGGTCGTCTATACGAACTGGGAGGCGGACATGGTAATGACTTGCATCTGCGACTGGGGCTACACCGGGGGGGACTGCTCGCTCAGGATGTGCCCCAAGGGGGACGATCCCGTGACAACTATGCAGGAGAGCCCTCGGGTGGCGATGACGGTGAACGCTACCGATGGAGTCATGGAGGGGAACTTCGTTCTCACGTTCCAGGTAATAAATCCAATAGAGGTTCTTCAAACAAATAATGACCTAGTCTGGCTTCCATTGACGCAGCCACGTCTAGCTACCGGCCGGGCTCGTTGTCGGGGTTGTGGATTTTCATGCTCCACGATGATGCCTTCGCTACCATGCTGCTTGGACAAGGTAGACTATCCCGTTGGGAACACGCCGCTTGGAAAGGTAGCCAGACATTTTTTAACACGCGTAGTACGTAGAGGGCACTATTTATGAGTAACAACGGTGGGATGTTCTACAAGAGGGATCATGCTGACACCAAGCACACGTGAAACCTTGGCATCGATGATGCAAACGTGCACTTCTCGTCCTACAGCAGTTGCGCATTGTCCATCCCTGTGAGCTTTCCACTCCATCATCGACACTGAAACTTGCGCAACGCGACATGCAGGGGGAAAGCTTCGCGTTCCCCGCGAACGCGACGCAATTCGATTCCACAGATTGTGAGGCCGCCTTCGAAGGGCTGGGCAACCTCGAAGACGTCACGTGCTCTCGAGGAGACGTGGATGCAGAGGGGGGGGCGACCTTTGACATTGGTGAGCGCGGGGAGTGCAGATGAACTCGTTGGAGCCAGTTTTCAATTGGCGCCCACGAATTGGTTTGCCCTGTGCAGCAAGGTGATCGACCAATTGTGGACCAAAATGTTAGAGAACGGCAAGTACAGGCGCTGTGCACTATCGTCAGTCTTGTTTCCAGGAATAAAAGGCGTTTCTGGTTGCTTAGGTTCTGCGCGAGTATCTCTGCCCCATCTCGTGTTTTTCGCTTTCGACGTTGCTGCGTTTAATATCCTGCTGGCCACCACAACTAGCCTGGGCTCATTGTCTCTCAGCCATCACCTTCATCGTCTGACATTGCCAACGCCAAAACAAACCCCACTTCGACCACCACCACAACACCACCACCAACGCTCGGCGCGGCTTCAACGAGAGCAGAACTGGTGGCCTTTCCCACCTTCCCGCACCAGAACAACGTCTTCTCGCACGATGGATGGCCGGGACTCGACGCCTTCTCCTGCGATGCCGCTAACGTCACCGGGGCAACGGACCCCGTCTGCAAGTTCACCGTGCTGCAGGATGACAATTTGAAAGGTGGACCGAACGCTCCGTGTTGCATGCTACATGGGTCATGCCGGGGAAAGAGGGGGGAGCGGGACTCAGCGGAATGTCAACCTTGACTTGCACCAAGTTCAGCTGCCCGAATTCTTCATCCTTGAGAAATCCATGCTCAATATTTCCTCTATTCACGGCGGTGCCCAGGGTTCTGAAGGAGTCAAGAATCGAAAGTCACGGCTGTCTACTTGCATGTGATGCTGCCCTATGCGCCTGTAGTAATATCACGTGCATCGTACAGGAGGCAATTCGGCTTCAACTAGCTCACTTTTGGTTTGTGCAACGCTTCTTGGTTGTCGCGGGTTGCTGATACCGGTGGTTGTCGTTCGTTGGTGGTCTTTTGGCAACAGGGTAGGAAAACACGTGGTTCAAGGACTTCAAGGCAAAGTTGAGACGATTGGGGACAGTCTAGTAACTGTGTGGACGAGACACCGAACAAGGCCGTATGGTCTGCAAGCAAACGATGGACATTCACGAATTACCCAGGTTGACCTCCAACCGAGGGAAGCGGGCTAACAATCTCGCGATTAGAACGTGTGTAAATAGATAGAGCTAGCCGTGGTTAAGGCGTTGCTTTGAAAGTTCAACAGTAACTCATGCATTTTGATTTATGCTACCCGCGACCGTCGAAGGACCCGAACTATGCCGGTGTCCAGCGCGAATCTTGCGTGGAATAGTTCTGTTTTGGTGCGTGGAGGATATATTTGTCTTTAAGGACACATCGAACTCCTCCTCTTCACGCGCCGTCATTTGTGAGGGAGGAGAGGACAAGTTCAAATTACGTGATCCGCTTGCGACCCCATCCCCATCGGGACGCGTGACGACATGGATGTGAATGAGTTGCTGAGTTTCGTCTTAAATCGTGTCGACTGGCAGGACCACGGCACATTGAATAAGTATTCCTGTTCCCGCAACTTGAACCCCTCCTTGTACCGTACAGAGTATGAGTTTTGCAGCAGAAGAGGCATATGCGACTTTGAAACCGGGAGGTGCGATTGTGTAGACGGGTTTTCGAGAGCCAATTGCGACGTGAGTGAGAGCCAAATCACCGAGGATCTCGATGCGGACGTCTTGGAGCTGTACACTACGCTGGCAAACTTCACCGGTAAGGTTCTTCGATGAACAGTGCTCTGGTAAATAATTGTTTTTCCCTTGAGGGAGCGCGCGGATAAATACAGTGCGGTTTTTCGTGTTGTATTTAGGGAGAGCACGTCTAGTCTGAGCCAGAATCTGCTGGCGGCACCGAGGAGAACAACAAATGGAATTTTTCGTGCACGTAACGATCTGTGGTACATTAGTCTACCTCCCGCCGAAGTGGAAAACTAGTCGAGGGGTACCGTGATCGGCCTCCGGTGAATGAAAGACATAGCCGTCGTATGTACACCTATCAACACAACAACGTGGAAACCAGGCTTAGGTACCTTGCTAGGGGTAGTACTGCACGTGCCACCAATAGAGATCGGGAGACTAACGAACAATTTTCTACCGGTCCGAGGATGTTTGCCAAGAAAGATTCACCGAATATTGACCATTCAGTGAGGTGAGTTTCGGAGATGGGGAAACGTTCACGAAACCACACTCTCGCTTCCACCCTTTCTTGAAAGCGCGTTTTGCATGGTTGTCCTACCGCATAGGGAACGTCTTGTACCTCAAGACGGAGAGGGAATCGAGCTCGTATTTCAACCTCATCAAGGCGGCTTCTGAAGGCGAAAACACGTTTGTTCTAGCCGGCGATGGTACCCTCCGTATGTACAAGGTACGCGAACTCTTTTAAGCACCCCTGGCCGTTTCGTATTGTGTTTGCGTTGGTGCCCTGCAGATGTAGTTGTGACGTTGTCGTCGCCGCTGCTCACATGTGTGTGAATTTTCGGTGGAGAACATCCAACGCCTACCCAGACCCTTACAACTAGCATGTTCGTATTCACACGCCTTGGAGGCCTCACACGATAAAATCCCGTAGGGTCTGGACATTCTTGTGCTTTGAACCGCGTTGTTCCTCGGGGTTGTAGTATCAAAAGAAGGCGACTGCCACGAATGCGTCCCAAAAGGTGATGATTGTCGAACCTCTCCTCAACGCCCGCTCACGCAGATGGCAGCGTAGGAATGAGGTCCGATAATATCAAGTTGGGTCAAAGCACCAAACTGCTACCTACGCTACCTGTGGTAGGTCGCTTGAACCGCACGCGCACGTTCGGGATACAAGGAGAACGAAGGATAAATAAATGGCTCTTACGCCCCGCCCGACCAGCGACGCTCAAATCGTTCACAAGCTTTCCTCACACCTACTCCACCAGATAGCTAGGGTAGACTATCGCATCGTTGACGCTCACGTACAACGCAGAATAGAACGTTCAAGCCGCCACTCTCTGAAGAGCCACAAAGGATTCGTGATGCCGAGAAACAGTAACTGCAGGGACAATTATCGCTCAAGCCCATCAAGGTGACATCTACAGTTTATGTATCGTTCTTCGTGACGTATTGTGGCCACCTTCTATATGATTCAGTTGGCGTTTCCGTCAGACTATAAAAAAAGTAGGAGTTGGTGCCATGTGAGCTCGTTGAGCACCATTTTTAGACGGTATTTTGGTGTCTTTCGCCTCTCTCTTCCCCTATCTTGCGTGTGATGGCGAGGAAAACGGGAACGACAGCGCTTGGGAGAAAAATCTAAGACCTGCGATCTTATGGGGTTTAGCCCGGCACGGTTTCATGCGGTCATCTCACTACATCGAGGCGTTTTCAAATATATTTCTTGATCTATCGGTACTGCCAAACGGCGATTTGACTTTGTCATGTAAGATTCTGCTCGCCTGTGCAGTGAACCACAATTGGTGATTCATGCCGTCGAAGTAGGAAATTCTAGGCAGGATGGCCGCCTTGGCAGATCTATGGTATGGCGGCGAGAATACATCTTACGATTGCGCGTCCGCAATGAATGTCGTTCTACATGCCGGCTAGTGGTATAAATTGTTTCCCCGTTCTTATCCCCATGCCCGTGTTTGTGCTTGCTGTCGTAAGGGAGACTTGATCGTAAGTGCGGGGACATCCTACTTCGCAGATCTGGTGACTGCCGACAATGGCATGACCATTTCCGGTAACAGCCTCCTAGTCGAAGACGCTGACGAGCTAATTTCCGGCGGTGACCTTACTCTTTCCACCGGGTAAGAAAATTTGACGTAGGGTTGAGATACTGCTGATGATCCTACGCAGGATGGTCTTCTACGCGAGTGTTACGCAGGCCGAAGAATGAAAAGCATTCCGAGGTCGGTCGTCTTCCAAGAGAGAAAAATAAACTTTGAGTGGTGCCAGGAAGAGAGATATCGTTTGAGCATATCACCGAATCAAGGGGGTTTCATCTGAAAACGCACTCTTCTACGAACTGAAGAACCATGGCCTGGTTTCTTGCCGTCACGTTTTTCACATCAAGCTTGGTTGAGCAATATCTCCGAGAGCGTTCCTCCGACAATAGTTAGGGCTTGAGATTGGCCATTTAGAGGTCTTCAACACACGGTGGAGGGGGATATCGAGCGGTCCACAACCGGCAAACGGTAACCTCCCAGGTACAATGGTTCCGACAAAGAACCACGGAAAGAAGCGAAAGCTCGTGTCATGAATGTGGTTCACCGTAACCTTGCACCTGATTTCGAGGGATAACGGTCGCGTGCATCGGAAACCCATTACCGGGGTGTAACTTGCCGTATGTGGACATGTTCCTGCTCTCTCCAAAAAATCTGTTTTGGCGTTGGGTATCCATAGGACAAAAAGTTATTTATGGTACACCCCAAGACACGTAGTTGCTACAGACCAGAGGGAGTCGTTTGTGTGTCACTCTTTCATACATGTTGATCTCGTTTATCTGACGATATGAGCGCCTCTGAAACAAGCTCCATGAGAAAAGAAGAATCAGCAAATCATCGACAATGCGTACCATCTATAAACGACTGAGGTGCTCACGAGCTGACCAAAGATAATGGATTAGAACAAGAACATGTCGACCCTCTCGTACGTATGTCTTCTTATTGCAGATCTCGCAAGCGCAAACCTGATGACCAAATGCCTTGGGTGTGTGATCTCGTCATCAGGTCTATCATCGCCGACAATGGCACATTATCGGTGGCCGGTGTCACGAGTTCAGCTGTTGTGACGGTCGACGACGACATCATTTGTACGGGGGATGTCACCGCCACGGCTGGCTTGCTCAAGATCCGCAGCATCACCAGCTCGGAATCGGTCACGGTGACAAGTGGGGGAGCTAGTATTACGGGTCCGACGGAAGTTGTTTCCGGAGGAGTAACCATAACAGCAGGCGGCCTCCGCGTCGTAGCCGGAGGGGTCGTCATCGAAACGGTGGGAGCTACTATCGATGAAGGAGACATGACGATCACCGACGGCGACATGGCAATCACTTTAGGTGACTTGACCTTGACAGATGGAGACATTCTCGTACAATCGGGGACGCTCAGCGTTTCAGGAGTAAGTACTTTCGGAGACCTTGCAACTGCGTCGAACGGTCTCACGGTCAACACGGCCTTGCTCACGGCTGCTGCTGGCGTCAGCGTGACTGGCGGAGATGTCACCTTGGCAAGCGGCGGTGTGATCTTGACGACCGGCGATCTCTCCGTTGGGGGCGTCAGCACGATGACGGGGCTCGTCACAGCGTCGAACGGTCTCACGGTCAACGGCGATCTCTCCGTTGGAGGCGTCAGCACGATGGCGGACCTCGTCACAGCGTCGAACGGTTTCACTGTCAACACGGCCTTGCTCACGGCTGCTGCTGGCGTCAGCGTGACTGGCGGAGATGTCACCTTGGCAAGCGGCGGTGTGATCTTGACGACCGGCGATCTCTCCGTTGGGGGCGTCAGCACGATGACGGGGCTCGTCACAGCGTCGAACGGTCTCACGGTCAGTCGCGATCTCTCCGTCGGGGGCGTCAGCACGATGACGGACCTCGTCACAGCGTCGAACGGTCTCACGGTCAATAGGGCCTTGCTCACGGCTGCTGCTGGCGTCAGCGTGACTGGCGGAGATGTCACCTTGACAAGCGGGGGTGTGATCTTGACGACCGGCGATCTCTCCGTCGGGGGCGTCAGCACGATGACGGACCTCGTCACAGCGTCGAACGGTCTCACGGTCAGTCGCGATCTCTCCGTCGGGGGCGTCAGCACGATGACGGACCTCGTCACAGCGTCGAACGGTCTCACGGTCAATAGGGCCTTGCTCACGGCTGCTGCTGGCGTCAGCGTGACTGGCGGAGATGTCACCTTGACAAGTGGCGATGTCCTCTTGACGACCGGTGATCTCTCCGTCGGGGGCGTCAGCACGATGACGGGCCTTGTCACGGCGTCGAACGGTCTCACGGTCAACACGGCCTTGCTCACGGCTGCTGCTGGCGTCAGCGTGACTGGCGGAGATGTCACCTTGGCAAGCGGCGGTGTCGTCTTGACGACCGGCGATCTGTCCGTTGGGGGCGTCAGCACGATGGCGGACCTCGTCACAGCGTCGAACGGTCTCACGGTCAACACGGCCTTGCTCACGGCTGCTGCTGGCGTCAGCGTGACTGGCGGAGATGTCACATTGACAAGCGGGAGTGTCGTCTTGACGACCGGCGATCTCTCCGTTGGGGGCGTCAGCACGATGACGGACCTCGTCACAGCGTCGAACGGTCTCACGGTCAACACGGCCTTGCTCACGGCTGCTGCTGGCGTCAGCGTGACTGGCGGAGATGTCACCTTGGCAAGCGGGAGTGTCGTCTTGACGACCGGCGATCTCTCCGTCGGGGGCGTCAGCACGATGACGGACCTCGTCACAGCGTCGAACGGTCTCACGGTCAACACGGCCTTGCTCACGGCTGCTGCTGGCGTCAGCGTGACTGGCGGAGATGTCAACGTGCAGAATGACCTTTATGTCGTCGGCAACTCGTACTCCAATTTACACACGGACACGTCGGACGAGAGGCTAAAGGAGAACGTTGTGCAGCTGTCAAGTTCGATGGAACTGCTTGAGCGATTGCGTGGGGTTAGTAGTATTGCTCCATCCCATTCGTTGGCACCTGCAGCCAGGTTGAATTCTCAAACGTACCGTGTCACAGTTGTTGTGTGGTGGGCGCTTGGCTCTTTGTAGACCTGGAGTGTCGCATGGTACTCTGTAGCCTGGCTGGTTGGGATGGGATGCATTGGGTATTTTGTAGGTGGGCGGAACACAAACCGCATCGACGGCAGCAAACACGTTTCCTAACGAGCAGGATTTTACAACACCAGTATTGAACACGTGAAATTGACATCAACATCAACCACCGCAGCATCTTACAGGAACACGAATTAGTATCAACGACAGTCGCTTACGTTCGGGGTTAGATCGGTGTGGCTTGGTCCATGGTGATGACAACTCAACATCGCGCTTTCACAGGTTACCTTTGACTGGAAAGACGAGGCAAGGAGAACGGGTCTTCATCCAAACAAGCAAGCTATCGGTTTCGTGGCGCAAGAGGTTCAAGCGGTTTTCCCCCAACTTGTGCACAGGTACGACCGGTGGCTAGTAGGGCACGCGCGAAGTCGTAATTTGTAGCCGTCCTGACACGTTTCCTTCGGGGCCATAGGGCAAAGAGAGAGGGGGGGGAGAGTGTCACGTACAGACGGAGACAGATCGATCCGATAGACACAAATAGACTCACAGACGTACGAATATTGAAGGAGACGTTTCGAGACCGACTTGAGACAGAACGAACACGAACGAAAGGAGCGTTGACGGGGATTCGAATAGAGGTCTTGGAACAGAACGCAGAAGGACGTCACTTCTCACGCATGAGACGAACAATCATTGAGATTGACTCGACCATCCGTATCGGGTGGGTACACCTGGAGTGAGCAGGAAGCAGTCTAGGAACTACTCCGGATAGAATCGGACGCTGCACTTTTGGAACGCACGATGGGAGACATTGGTTTCGCTAGACAGCTTCAGGTGTCTACTTGACATCCCAGACCATGTCGCAGGCTCTCGTCAAATTTGTACCAGTTCTCTGCTCCGTGCTTCGCCACCACGTGGGGTGGTAAGCTATACTTTCCGGCTGTATCAAACCTAGGCAATGGGGTGTTTTCAACTAGAGTTCGGCATCGTGTTGGAATTTTGAGGTTGGTCGGACCGATTCACCGAGTATTCACACCAAGTCGCCCCCGTGGTCTAGTGGGTAGCCTCGCAGCCTGCTAAGGGCCAGGTCATGGGTTCGAGTCCCGACAGAGAGAGTTTTTTCTCACTAAAATAAATCCTGGTCTAGGATGAAAGCGACGCGCTGCAAAGCTCGTTTGTTAGTAAACCATAATCGACTTTGTAAATCGCGAGGGAAGGGATTGCGGTACCCTTCTCGCGATAAAAATACCTCAGGCATGAACCGCAGGAGGGGGTCCAACCCCCCCCTCCTTTGTGACCCCGGTTGGGTCGTCTAGCTAGTAGAAGTGGAAGATAGGGGCCAGAGGGGCAGACGACAGAGTCCAATGATGGGAGAAAAACAAACAAAACAAACAAAAACCAAGTGCTAAAGCGGGTGAAACGTAAAATTTCTGAATGCCCCCGCATGCGATCACCATCTCATATCCCCCCCTCTCGGAGTGGCTAGAGAGAGAAGGAAGGATACGTTGGTGAAGCAGGAAGGGGTATGTGGTCGAGCGTTTCAGGAATGCCCCGAGACATTGATGCAGACCTGGGTGGGATGAGACCAATTCCAGGCCCAAACAAACCCTGGGCGAGCACGAGAGAAGCCACCCATCCATGCACGTAAATGTTGTTCTCGCCCCGGGGCATTCTTCTACAACTTCAACACTCAGTCTACGTGCGACTTGCTATCATCCCACCCCGTTCCCTTTCCTGGGTGAGCCCAGAAGAATCCATGGTGTGGATTGTATTCTGATGGTGTTACCAGTTGGCACGCCAAGGTGTCTCTTGTCTACAGCTGGCCGCTCTGTCGTTTGGGCCACGAATATTGGTATACATTCGCCGAGACTACCTTCAAAACGATTCGAACGACAACTCTTCGGAAGGCAGCCCAATTCCTGTGATGTCGTAACAGCAAGGGCAAGAATACAGACTATGAAAAGTGTGAATTTAGGCTACCTGGGCTAGGAAGCTGCATTGCGACAAGTGTAGGGCGAATGACGAGAATTAGGCCGTGCCGACGACCGGAAAACATTTCGGTAGCGCCCATGCCTGCACAACACTCTCTTGTTTTCCTTGAGCGTGGTGATACGCTTGAGCTTCCACGTGCGAACAGCACAGATTGAAGGCATGAACCACAGCGACACGGCAAAAAGACACCAGCGCCTTCAAACGTCGGGGTTATTCCAGAGACGACACGTATTGGCCACAACATCCTAAGCATTGCCGCCCTATTCACCCTTCCGTTCCGAGTTTGTGGAGGGGCTTTCGATCTCTGGTAGGCTTATCTCTGCACGTTTCACCCTCCAGGTACGACGAATCCGACGAGGATAGCTTATTGTCTGTGAATTACGGCGGGTTTGCACCGCTTCTTGTGGAGGGGCTTAAGGAGCTTAAGCTGGAGTTGGAAAGGCTCAATGACTTGGCGTTGCAGCTCGCGATGCAACTGCGGGAAGCCCATGCCGAGATAAAAAGCTTTCAGGACCAGGCACAGCAACAGCAACAGCGACAACGACAGGTCGACGAAACAACGACACATATGGACTCAAGGTTGCTAGACTTGGAGCGCCAGCAGCAGCGGTGGCGGCGACCGCGGCAAGCGCGATAAGTTCAAGGAAACCATGAAGCGCATGAGCTCAGCCGATAGATTTAGAAAAGGAGGCGGCGGCAGCAGTGGATGCCGCAGTAGGTATAGATCTATGTTGGACTGAAAAGAAACAACGTGACGATAAGGGTGGCGGACGGTCGAACACTCGTCATGACATCGTGCAGCCCCGAAAACAACGCGTTGATTTTAGTGAAGTCGATCGTGACGAGTGTTCAGGTGCGTGGATAAGCTACATGTAGCCCGAAGAAACGGGATATTTGACCTCGCCCAAAGATTGATGGGATGTCTGTGGTGCTGAAGAGTAAGTACTTATCGTCCCTAACAGGACGAAGTCAGGTTCTTTGTTCGTATCATATTCGAACCTTTGGTGTGAACCGATTCATTTTGTCTGTGTCTGTTTTGGTGATTGGGGGGGGACAAAGTTCGACTCTATTTACTGTAATAAACTATGAAGAGAGAACGGAGGGAAGAGGAAATACATGAACATGTTGCTTTAACAAGGCCACATCCATGGTATTGCGCTTTATGTTCGTAGCGATATAGTTAAACATCAATATTTTGTGGCGATTTTTTACACGAGATACCAACCTGTCACTCCAACAGCCAACTGCGATTCCTTCGGATACCGACACTCGCACACACTTCGTAGGAGTAGGAGGTGGTAAGGATTTCCGGCCAGGAGCCCGCCTGCAACACCTCCTCACCTCCTCGGTGGAAGTGGAAGCATGGGCGGGCGTGCTTCATGCTTAGGATAAACTCAATCCGATATTATCTGCGTCCCAAACGAAGAGGTTTCTTCGCAAACTGAGCAAGACACCAGTACCCCATTCCGCTGTGCCGCGTATGTTTGTGGAGACGGCTTCCTCCGCCTCTATGGTCTCTAGACTATGTACATCGACGGATAGCTCACTTTCACATGACGGAAACGACACTTGCCACCCAGGACCAAAACTGGGGGAGATACAAAAAAAAGACACGTAGAAAGAGAACATACTTAACATGTTTCCAATCTGAGCAACCCTATACAAAACTAGAAAGAAAGCTAGGTTTACCTCCGCCATTGTTGCTGCTGCCGCTATGCTGCCGCTGTTGTTGTAGCTGCTTCGCTCTACATCCGATTATCTTTTGATATTCAAAACATCCACATGCTGCTGTTCGCTCTGTGACTCTATCAACTGATGTGCCGGCTTCTTCAGACTTTCTATCCCCATTTTTTGTTGCAATGCCAGCTCCTTGAGGCCCTCTATTTGCTTCTGCTGTTCTAGTGCCAATTCCTTGAGTCCGTCCGTCTCCATCTGCTGCTGTTGGACCAAAGCGCGAACTTCTTCCATATCCAGCTGCTGTTGTTGCTTGAGCTCCTTGAGCCCCTCCACGAGAAGCGGTGCAAACCCGCCGTAGTTCACAGACAACAAACCATTCTCGTCGGATTCGTCGTACCTGATATGTGAAACATAGGGTAACAAACATGTCAGAGATGGAAATCCCCTTGCAAAACTCGGACAGGTTGCGGTAAAATATAGGCGTGCTGAAGGAGCAGTTGGGATCCACTGGCTGTGTGCCTACCTGAGATTGTTGACACATCGGCGAAACAACCACCCCAAGCGAATTCAAGGGTGTGTAGGGGGGAGCCTATCAACCGTCACTAATTCCTCATGGGCAAAGGTCCCACGGGTTTCCATGACATTATCGGTGGTTGTGATGAATTACGCGTGATTCGGAACGCCAAGATATAGAAGTCACTCGAGCCTGGCGCAGATACCGGTAGCTCGTGACCATAGCCGAGTTTGCGCCTCTTTGGTGTTTTATGTTATGAATGCTTCGGTAGCTCGTGACCACACAATTAGCCGAGTTTGCGCCTCTTTGGTGTTTTACGTTACGAACGCTCTGTGCTTAACGATGACGACGACGGCGGCGGCGAAAGCAACACCAGCAACGACGACAGCAACGACGATTATCAACAACAACAACAACAACAACAACAACAACAACAACAACAACAACAACAACAACAACAACAACAACAACAACAACAACAACAACAACAACAACGTGTCTCGCAACTAGTTGGTTCCCCAGTCGATTGCAGGTAGCAATGGTTCTCAGCGCGTTCCACCTCGAACAAGGAGTAATTCTGAGATCATCCGTCTACACCAACAGGAGTTGAAAAGATCGGGAATTGGCGTCATTTTGCCCTGGTCCTGTGCGGTGCGCACGTGGAAGCTCATGAACATCACGAACAAGTTTAAAGAAACGACGAGATTGCGTAGTAGGCTGGGGACCAATTTTTCCGGTCGTGGGGAAGACCTGATTCTCGCCATTCGCCCTGCACTTCTCGGATGTTCTACCGTTACAGGAGGTGGTCTCCCTTCCGAGTAGTTGTCATTAGAATCGGTTTCAAGGTTGCCTCGGCGCATGTGTACATTCCTGGCCCAAACGACAGAGCGGCCAGTTGTAGACTAGTCAATATACACCTTGGCACGCAAAACCCGTTAGATGGACCCCATCAGAATAAATCTACACCACGCATTCTTCTGCGCTCACCCAGGAAGGGGAATTGGCTGATGGCAAGCTGCACTTACAAAGGGACAACACATACAGGAGGATCAGTGTTGAAGTTGTAGAAGAATGCCCCGGGACGAGAACAACATTCACGTGCATAGGGGGCTTCGCTCGTGCCTACCCGCGCTACGTTTGGGCCTGGAATCGGTCTCATCCCATCCACGTCTGCATCAAAATGAATGTTGGTGTCAATTCTGAAACAATGGACCACATACCCCATCCTGCTTCACCAACATATCCTCCCCTCTCTCTCTAGCGACGAGAGGGGGGATATGAAATGGCGATTACATGCGAGGGCATTCAGAAACCTAACATTACACCGGCTTTAGCACTTGGTAAGAATGCTCGGGGGTTGGTTCCGACCATCCTCAACGTTCCAACATGACGCCGAACCCGAGTTGAAAACATCCCATGGCCTAGGTTTTATACAGCCGGAGAGTATAGCTTACCACCCCACTTGGTGCCGAACAACGGATCAGCAAGGTGGGACAGAGTGGACGAGCCAACAACATCGTCCGGGATGTCGATAAGACACTTCAGGCTGTCTAGCAAAACTTATGTCTCCGGTCGTGCGTTGCAAAAGTGCAGCGTTCGATTCTACCCGGAGTGAGTGGTTCCTAGACTGCTTCCTGCTCACTCCAGGTGTACCCACCCGATACGGATGGTAGAGTAAATAATTGTTCGTCTCGTGCGTGCTATCTGAACTTCTTTGGCGTTCTGTTCCAAGCCGCCCATTCGACTCGCCGCCAATTCTCCCTTCGTTTGTGTTCGTTCTGTCTCAAGTCGGTCTCGAAAATGTCTCCTTCAATATTCGTATGTCTGTGAGTCTATTTGTTTGTGTCTTTCGGATCGATCTGTCTCCGTCTGTACGTTACGCACTCCCGCCCCTCTTCTTCGCTCTATGGCCCCGAAGGAAACGTGTCAGGACGGCGTGTCAGGACGGCTACAAATTACGACTTCGCGAGTGCCTTACTAGCCAACCGGTCGTACCTGTGCACAAGCTGGGGGAAAACCGCGTGGACCTCTTGCGCCACGAAACCGATAGCTTGCTTGTTTGGATGAAGGCCCGTTCTCCTTGCCTCGTCTTTCCAGTCAAAGGTAACCTGTGAAAGCGCGATGTTGAGTTGTCATCACCATGGACCAAGCCACACCGATCTAACCCCGAACATAAGCGACTGTCGTTGAAACTAATTCGTGTTCCTGTAAGATGCTGCGGTGGTTGATGTTGATGTCAATTTCACGTGTTCGATACTGGTGTTGTTGATTCCTGCTCGTTAGGAAACGTGTTTGCTGCCGTCGATGCGGTATGTGTTCCGCCCACCTACAAAATACCCAATGCATCCCATCCCAACCAGCCAGGCTACAGAGTACCATGCGACACTCCAGGTCTACAAAGAGCCAAGCGCCCACCACACACCAGCTGTGACACGGTACGTTTGAGAATTCAACCTGGCTGCAGGTGCCAACGAATGGGATGGAGCAATACTACTTACCCCACGCAATCGCTCGAGCAGTTCCATCGAACTTGACAGCTGCACAACGTTCTCCTTCAGCCTCTCGTCCGACGTGTCCGTGTGTAAATTGGAGTACGAGTTGCCGACGACATAAAGGTCATTCTGCACGTTGACATCTCCGCCAGTCACGCTGACGCCAGCAGCAGCCGTGAGCAAGGCCGTGTTGACCGTGAGACCGTTCGACGCTGTGACGAGGTCCGTCATCGTGCTGACGCCCCCGACGGAGAGATCGCCGGTCGTCAAGACGACACTCCCGCTTGCCACGGTGACATCTCCGCCAGTCACGCTGACGCCAGCAGCAGCCGTGAGCAAGGCCGTGTTGACCGTGAGACCGTTCGACGCTGTGACGAGGTCCGTCATCGTGCTGACGCCCCCGACGGAGAGATCGCCGGTCGTCAAGACGACACTCCCGCTTGCCAAGGTGACATCTCCGCCAGTCACGCTGACGCCAGCAGCAGCCGTGAGCAAGGCCGTGTTGACCGTGAGACCGTTCGACGCTGTGACGAGGTCCGTCATCGTGCTGACGCCCCCGACGGAGAGATCGCCGGTCGTCAAGACGACGCTCCCGCTTGCCACGGTGACATCTCCGCCAGTCACGCTGACGCCAGCAGCAGCCGTGAGCAAGGCCGTGTTGACCGTGAGACCGTTCGACGCTGTGACGAGGTCCGTCATCGTGCTGACGCCCCCGACGGAGAGATCGCCGGTCGTCAAGACGACGCTCCCGCTTGCCACGGTGACATCTCCGCCAGTCACGCTGACGCCAGCAGCAGCCGTGAGCAAGGCCGTGTTGACCGTGAGACCGTTCGACGCTGTGACGAGGTCCGTCATCGTGCTGACGCCCCCGACGGAGAGATCGCCGGTCGTCAAGACGACGCTCCCGCTTGCCACGGTGACATCTCCGCCAGTCACGCTGACGCCAGCAGCAGCCGTGAGCAAGGCCGTGTTGACCGTGAGACCGTTCGACGCTGTGACGAGGTCCGTCATCGTGCTGACGCCCCCGACGGAGAGATCGCCGGTCGTCAAGACGACGCTCCCGCTTGCCACGGTGACATCTCCGCCAGTCACGCTGACGCCAGCAGCAGCCGTGAGCAAGGCCGTGTTGACCGTGAGACCGTTCGACGCTGTGACGAGGTCCGTCATCGTGCTGACGCCCCCGACGGAGAGATCGCCGGTCGTCAAGACGACGCTCCCGCTTGCCACGGTGACATCTCCGCCAGTCACGCTGACGCCAGCAGCAGCCGTGAGCAAGGCCGTGTTGACCGTGAGACCGTTCGACGCTGTGACGAGGTCCGTCATCGTGCTGACGCCCCCGACGGAGAGATCGCCGGTCGTCAAGACGACGCTCCCGCTTGCCACGGTGACATCTCCGCCAGTCACGCTGACGCCAGCAGCAGCCGTGAGCAAGGCCGTGTTGACCGTGAGACCGTTCGACGCTGTGACGAGGTCCGTCATCGTGCTGACGCCCCCGACGGAGAGATCGCCGGTCGTCAAGACGACGCTCCCGCTTGCCACGGTGACATCTCCGCCAGTCACGCTGACGCCAGCAGCAGCCGTGAGCAAGGCCGTGTTGACCGTGAGACCGTTCGACGCTGTGACGAGGTCCGTCATCGTGCTGACGCCCCCGACGGAGAGATCGCCGGTCGTCAAGACGACGCTCCCGCTTGCCACGGTGACATCTCCGCCAGTCACGCTGACGCCAGCAGCAGCCGTGAGCAAGGCCGTGTTGACCGTGAGACCGTTCGACGCTGTGACGAGGTCCGTCATCGTGCTGACGCCCCCGACGGAGAGATCGCCGGTCGTCAAGACGACGCTCCCGCTTGCCACGGTGACATCTCCGCCAGTCACGCTGACGCCAGCAGCAGCCGTGAGCAAGGCCGTGTTGACCGTGAGACCGTTCGACGCTGTGACGAGGTCCGTCATCGTGCTGACGCCCCCGACGGAGAGATCGCCGGTCGTCAAGACGACGCTCCCGCTTGCCAATGTGACATCTCCGCCAGTCACGCTGACGCCAGCAGCAGCCGTGAGCAAGGCCGTGTTGACAGTGAGACCGTTCGACGCTGTGACTAGGTCCGTCATCGTGCTGACGCCCCCGACGGAGAGATCGCCGGTCGTCAAGACGACACTCCCGCTTGCCAAGGTGACATCTCCGCCAGTCACGCTGACGCCAGCAGCAGCCGTGAGCAAGGCCGTGTTGACCGTGAGACCGTTCGACGCTGTGACGAGCCCCGTCATCGTGCTGACGCCACCAACGGAGAGATCACCGGTCGTCAAGACGACATTCCCGCTTGCCAAGGTGACATCTCCGCCAGTCACGCTGACGCCAGCAGCAGCCGTGAGCAAGGCCGTGTTGACCGTGAGACCGTTCGACGCTGTGACGAGCCCCGTCATCGTGCTGACGCCACCAACGGAGAGATCACCGGTCGTCAAGACGACATTCCCGCTTGCCAAGGTGACATCTCCGCCAGTCACGCTGACGCCAGCAGCAGCCGTGAGCAAGGCCGTGTTGACCGTGAGACCGTTCGACGCAGTTGCGAGGTCTCCGAAAGTACTTACTCCTGAAACGCTGAGCGTCCCCGATTGTATCAGAATGTCGCCATCTGTCAAGGTCAAGTCACCTAAAGTGATTGCTATGTCGCCGTCGGTGATCGTCATGTCTCCTTTATCGATAGTAGCTCCCACCGTTTCGATGACGAATCCTCCCGCTACGACGCGGAGTCCGCCGGCTGTTATGGTTGCTCCTCCGGAAACAACTTCCATCGGACCCGTAATACTAGCTCCCCCACTTGTCACCGTGACCGATTCCGAGCTGGTGATGCTGCGGATCGTCAGCAAGCCAGTCGCGGCGGTAACATCTCCCGCACAAATGATGTCGTTGTCGACCGTCACAACAGCTGAACTCGTGATACCGGCGATGGTCAAGTCTCCGAGTACTGCTGAAATGGAGCCATTCGTGATAACGAGATCCCCCTTGCTTATGAGCTCGTCACCTTCCGAAATGATTAAGCCACCGTTGACAATCGTGGTCTGAAACACGCCGCGGATGGGAGGTAGCAGGCCGGGTTCGAGGGCGGGGGCGGAGGAGGTAGTTGAGCTCATCGCACAGTTTGACGAAGGTTTGGGGAGGAGGGGTACGAGAGCGGTTGCGTGCGGCCGCCTTTCACGGTGACGGTATCGTTTCTTCCACAACCCTGCTAGCGACACATTTCCAGAACCCGCACACATCAATATTAGCGCCATTGTTTCGAAATTAGTCCATGTCCATTCGGGTCCCGTCCAAGCACTATGCTGTTCGGGTAGGCAGCTCAACGAAAAGGGAATTTAGTACCTGGTACACAGGTCACGAACACCCACTGCTTACATGGTATGTTTGGGGACCTAGGTACGCTACGACGTGTAGGGTGTGTCGGGCGCACAACGTCTTGCCACAGGGGTTTTTGAGCTTGGTGTTTGCCTATCACGCTTCCGCGTAACCATTGCTTGACACAGAAAACCCTGCCCAACTTTGTGGCAAAGAGTACTGGCGTACACCCAACACAAAGACAAGGCTAAGTCTGTTTGTGGGAGGAAAACATCAGTTGCACCCCGACTTACTTGACCATCTCCTCGAACAGAGAACACAACATCAGAGCCGTCCGTTGCTTCGAAGTGGTTGTAGGTGGTCGAGTCCGACGTGGTTGCAGTAGTAGATATTACATTGGCGATATACCCATTACCTAGCGAGTACGGCAGCGCGCAGGATGGGCTGGGTTAGGGTCACTGAAGTGTTGCGCCGGGCGATTCAGGACTAAATCGTTGAGAAACAATGGCTCATGTTTGGCATGAACACGAAAAATCGAGTAAGAAACACACCTCAGTGGTGGATCCTACGCTAAACTCTATAGATTGACCAATGCTCGACCGTGGTTACGCATTGAGAAATTGAGCCTCGACCCCAACTTGACATTTCTTAAAGCGGGCTCAAACTAACTGTGTTCCCGTGGCAGCACAATCCTGAAGACGCGCAAAAAAGGAGTTGACTCGACTACTCGGTAATGGACGAAAGTCCGTTTGGGTAAACAACATAGGTTCCAGACGGATTGATGAGGCGACGAAGAAACGTTTTGGCTGTGGTCGGTGTGAAGCTTACTGCAAAATTCGTATTCCAATTGGCTTGCTACAAAAGGTTATCGACTACCAGGAACTGGGCCACATAAATACGTTTCGTGACTGTTGTGCTGTGGATGAGGGAGACGACTATTATTATGTGTTTCGTTAGAGCAAACAAACTCACTGACTAGGGTTACCTATCCGTACAACGCACTTGTTGCAGCCACGGCGAGCACATCATCGCTCGTTGACGATCTGGAGATGCTGGCGCCGTCCTCGGTCACAGCCAGCCCGCCGCTCTCTACCTCGAACCCCCCTTGTTCAACAACGAGTCCCCTGTCATGGAGTTCGTCATAAAGAATCACGCGCGGAAGCCACTTTCGTTTGTGTCAGAGAGCCACGAACCACTGGGTACAGGCAGGAACGCACGCTCCCAATTGAGTCCTGGGAGCTATGTCCAATATTGCAGACAAGCACTAGATTGGTCAAGACCATACTTGGCTCAAACACGGCCGGCAATATTAATTGTGCCATTTGCAGGGCAAGCGTGGCAATCGATCGGCTGCTGCTCACCCGGCTGTGATGACGAGCTCGGCGATCTCGATGTACCCGTCTCCTCTAACCTGGAAAACCACCGTGTCTCTAGCAGTGCATTGTATGAAGTTGAAATCGGAAGCAGCCTGTACACGAGCGCGTTGTTGGGACGGCAGGGTGGAAGGCTGTCAGTTTGTGGGTCGCTCTTCACCAATTTGCTACGTAGGCCATGAACAAGCTCATTCGTTAAATGGGGACGTCTCGAGCTTAATTGGCACAAACACGCCCACCGTTTGCCCTCTTCGCCGTGTTGTGTCCTTCTCTTGGACCTCCCGGGGCCTTTTCCGCGCCAAGCTCGCCATGACATCCATCTCCCGACCGTTGCCCCTCATCGTACTCCTTGCTCTAACCACTTTGCCGCGCGCGCCTTGGCCTATTGTACCCTAGTGAAAACCGTACACTCTCCTCTTTCCAGCTGTTTTAGCAAAAAGGAACCTCAATTATCCCAAACAGCCCACCAGTAACTGTTTTTACTCTCAACAGGTAGCACGTGTGCCACACTTGGGAGGGGATCGTCATCAACAGCTATTATTGGGGAGATGGGACCCGTAACAATGGTCGCCTCCACATTGACGGCGGACTGGTTGGGAACACGACCCGTTGGAATTACCTTCGTGAGCGTCTTCCATGAACAAAAATGTCTCCGTACTGATATTGCTTGACCCTCTCGGTGTTCTGGTGTCGGCCATCTTCAACCAAGTGAGACAACGTATTTCACCCAAAAAGGACCGATCCAACACTACTCACCCGCTTGTCGCTAATTGTTTCGAACACGTTGCCTATGTAGTCAAGGCCCGAGGCGAGCAGGCTCATGCCGGGCATCGCGTTGCTCGCGCTGTACGTGTAGCTCGAAATGCTGCAGGCGGCCCCGGTGTATCCCTCCAAGCACGTGCACAAACCGGTCCCGAAATCACACAAACCACGACGAGCGCAGTACTCGTACTCTGGATGATGAAGTGTTGGGCAGCGATTGACAGAGAAAACGGAAGAATCTGCCGTATTTTCCCGCCGCGGTCTTGGCGCAAGTCACACGATGCGCCAGTGCCCCACAAGACTATTCGGTCGCAAGGTCAACAGTGTCGCTACAGGTTCAGCGATGAAAAGCCTGGTGGTTGTGTTGTCCTACTACTTAGACTCAAGGAAGGACTCTAACTTCTCAAGTCAAAACCATTGCGCCCCAAACGAGAAGTGGGAAGCAGTCGAACCCATTCGGAATTCTGCATGCGGTCGGGAAACAAACGTCGCCGGTCTGAAGCCATCACCAGACCCCTCACACTGCTCTCGGTCCTACACCCTTTCCTGAATATCTTCTCGCGGAGTGCTGTTCGGAGGTGGGCAACGGATAAGCTTGATCAGTGCGTCGGTTCAAATGCATCTCCGTCGTGATTCGTTCACACACCCGTGATGCAGCCTTCACCCGGAACGGCACGGTGTTTGTTAACTTTGTTTGCCTCATGTGACCTCACCCTTGATGTTGGTGTTCTTGATGTCGGTGATGTTACAGTCCACCATGTTGGCGGGGTACACTGCGCTGACATCGCATGTAAACGCCGACAAGTCGGGGTTTCCGGTGTGGTAGAACACGTTGTTCTCGACCGGGACAATCGGGAAGCTCGAGAACGTGAGGTTCATTTGTAGTCCGCCTGGAGTCGGGGGAGAAGGCGCAATCAGAAGCAGCAGCAGCAGCAGCAGCAGCAGCAGTCATAGGGGGGAAACGATATCACGGACGAGACGTTTGCCCTGTATTTGAAACTACTGGCAGGGACAACACGACGTATTATTTTGCCGCTGCTGTCATAGGCGGGCAACCTCAAGCGGCCACAGTCATCATCGACGGGAGAAAAACGCCTCGCCCCACCCCTTCATGCACCGTAGCTCTGTCGACGAACACCTCCAACGAAGGAGAAGGCCATCACTGCCACCTTTCAACAACTAAGAAACATGTTAAGTCATGAATCCTGGCGCCACCTTCAATCACACGCGATCTCACGCTCGTGGCGTCACGTTTGCTGTTAGTCGGGCTCTTCAGACCGTGAATAGTTGTTTGTCATCACCAAATCGCTCGGGCAGGGGCGCCGTGGAGCTCTACGCGTCACTTGGCACAACCCAACGCCCTGCGCCACTACTTGGTGAGGTCACCATCGTCACCTGCGGTGATTGCTGTCCCTCCGTCAAGTACGGCACCGTGCAGAAATAATGTTGGGTTCGGGGTAGGCGTCTATTCGATAAAGGCGAACCATCAGTCTACTGCACAGGACACTCTGCAGTAGTCTAATGGTTACCTTTATCGAATAAAAGAAGCATATTCTAGGGCTCTTGGCCTCTCAGTGATCTCCGGGGCCGAACCCCTCGCCATGCTGCTGATGTGGAAAAGTCGGTAAAGGTCCCTCAAAAAGCGATCCAGCTGGGATTCTAACCCACGCATTTACCCTTTTTTCGACGAAAAGGCGAACAATTATAGAGTACTGCACGTCAGCCGCTGACCACGTAGTCTAACAATGTAGCCGTTAAAAACGAAAGACACGACGCGGACTCGATCCGCAGCTGGCACGCTTTTGTGGCACCAGTAATTCTTCGTCAGCAGCATGGCGAGGGGTCCGGCCCAGGAGGTCACAATTCCAGCTGAGAGGCCAAAAGTCCTAGAATCTTTCTTTATTCGGCAAAGGCAAACCATTAGTCAAACGGTTCGCCTTTCTTCATAGAATACGTCACCTGCGCACTAACAAGATCGCTTTCTCTGTAGGTGGCTCATGCTCCAAGCAACAACGGACGAATATACCGTGGTTGCTTCGGGCACGATGTTTGTGCGCGCATGTTTTTCCCGACTCGTGATCCTACCGACGGGTAATACAAAACCACAGGGAGCCTGCGCCAACGAGCCACGGTTATCAACTCAACCGCAGTAGCAAGAGAATGTTCAACATGGTATGACTTGAACACGTCCTGCCACGTGCCACTATTCAAACTTAGTAGATATATTGTGCCGATCTAAACGCTTCCCGAAATTCTACGAGTGGTGTGCTGCCAGCATTTCTCTATTTTTCTCGTCTGCTCAAAGCGCAAACGGGCTCCTAAGTGCACCCGCGGGAGAAAGCATGACCCAAAAAAATATGTTCTCCCTGCCGGGGTGACAGAAGCACCGCCCCTTCGTCCTTCGTTTTTGATTCAGCACCGCATATCAACATGAGTAAGATCACTGCCATAAACGAAACGGAGTGAATAGCGGCTGATGGGCTTCCCTCAACACTGCCCAAGGAGGCGTTGCCTCCACCGTCCCCTCTTTGCCTCTGCTGCGTCCCTCACCGTTGGCAATCGCCGCAGTCTCGCAAACGACGTCTTCTACGTTCT